ATATATGGTTAAAATGTAAGGAAAAGTTTTGGGTTTACGTGCAAAATATTTTATTGTGTGAATGTATAGTTGAAAATAAGTATGTTGAAAAAAGTTTTCAATAATGGTTGTCAAATAGGGGCTTAGTAAACTTGGACCCAGACCGGCATTATTGATCAAATGTATCAGTAGTCATACTTAGCTCTATAAAATTAGATCTGAAGTATAGTAACTTAGAGTTTATTTGGCATGACTTTTAAAAAATTAAAAGTTGCTTTTGAGTCTAAGAAGCCGCTTTTGGCTTGTTTGTATAATTTTTTGAAAAGGCCTTTTCAAATTCGGACTAGAAGAACTTTTAAAGGAAGTTGGTTCCGATAGCAGAAGCTATTCCAAACAAGCTATTAATAGATGTTTAATATTTAATAAAAATGTAAAAAAATAAAATAGATGGAACCGAGATGTAGTTAAATTAGAAAACATCTTAGAAACAAAGAAAACACTATTATTGAATGGACAAACTAGGGAGTGTCCATATTGAACTTTATTATAGATTCCTTATGATATAGTGCTCCTGGTTGGTTAGTTTTGATATTTGAATGAACACAGATGAGTCATTAAATGAACTTGACAGGAGTTGAAAGCAAATAGCTTTTCAGCTAACCTTATGTGGCACCAAGCCAATTTGGAAATAGATAGTTTTCTTTATAATACCTGGACTTTCCAATGTTTTTCTATAATATACTAGTTTCATGCCTGTGCAATGCACGGGCTGTGTTTTTTCTTAAAATAATGTTAGTGTACGGAAAAATGGAAAATGCGTGGTCCTACTTTTGAAATGGAGCATGAGATATCCATAATAAAACAATGTTAACCTTATAATATAAATTCCAAAGAAGAATCAACACTTTAGTAATGATAAGTGGAAAAATTAATTCAATACTTAGCACACCGCTGGAAAATGAGAAAATGGAAAATAAAGGATATCATAAGGACCGCGACACTGCATATTAATTAATTAACTAATTATTTCAATTTTTCAGAACATAAAATGGTTGTTGAAGTAGACAAGAGAATGGTGAAATTTAGCCTTACCAAACAGACAAGGAGTCCAATACAATTTCAGGATTGAGAAGCAAACCAGCAATAAGAATCAAATTTGAAAGTACCAAGTCTCCAGGCAGAGCATAATCTTTTCCTTTGGATCCCCAACGAGTACTTGTGTTTT